GGGGGGGGTCTTACCTTGGCTCCAGGTGGGGTGAAGGGGGGGGCGTTGTGCTGCTGGGCCTGAGGGGGAAATGAGGGGTCAAGGGGCTGCCCCACAGCGCCCCATAACTGCCCCATAGCGCCCCATAAGTGCCCCATAGCGCCCCATAGCATCCCACAGTGCCCCATAACTGTGCCACAGTGCCCCATAGCGCCCCATAACTCCCCCATGGCATCCCATAGTGCCCCATAGTGCCCCATAACTCCCCCATAGCGCCCCATAACTTCCCCACAGCATCCCACAGTGCCCCATAGCGCCCCATAACTCCCCCTAGAGCCCCACAACTGCCCCATAGCATCCCACAGTGCTCCATTACTGCGCCACAGTGCCCCATAGCACCCCATAACTGCCCCATAACTGCCCCATAATGGCCCCAGAGTGACCCATAACCCCCCACAGCCCCCCATAACTGCCCCACAGTGCCCCATAACCACCCCATAGTCGCACACAGCGCCCCATAAGCGCCCCACGGCGCCCCATAGCTCACCTGGTGGTTCGTGTCGGGTCCATTTCTTTCTGTGTCTGCAACAAATGGTGCCACCCCATAGCGACCCACGGCCCTATGGGACCCCAACCCTATGGGGTGCTGCGGGTCTCTGTGGGTCTCTATGGGTCTCTATGGGTCCCTATGGGGTCTCTGTGGGTCCCTATGGGTCACTATGGCTCTCTATGGGTCTCTATGGGTCATTATGGGTCCCTATGGGGTTCCTATGGGTGTATATGGGGTCTCTATGGGGTTCCTATGGGTCCCTATGGGTCTCTATGAGGTTTCTATGGGTTCCTATGGATCTCTATGGGGTCTCTGTGGGGTCTCTGTGGGTCCCTATGGTTCCCTATGGGATCTCTGTGGGTCCCTATGGGGTCCCTGTGGCTCTGTATGGGTCCCTATGGGTCCCTATGGGGTCTCTCTGGGTCTCCCTGGGGTCCTTATGGGTCTCTATGAGTCTCTATGGGGTCTCTGTGGGTCTCAGTGGGTCCCTATGGGGTCTTATGGGTCTCTATGGGGTCCCTATGGGTCTCTATGGGTCCCTAGGGGTCCCTATGTGTTCCTATGGCTCTCTATGGGTCTCTATGGGGTC